GATGCAGATTTTAGTTTATTGGTTAACCTTGGACGTCGCTTACACAAGAATGCGCACCACAATAGACCCAGACGGATGGGAGGACGTAGAGGTGGGCGGGTGGATGAATGGACAGAGTGACGAAATAATGAAAAACACTGTTGCGCATGCACAGTTGTGGATGCACGTCTTAGAGTGTAGAGAAAATGTGCTGGTTTGGGGTAAAAAACGGAACTACCAAATTTCTCGGCCAGGGCCCCGTATTCACACAAAGGCTGTTCAGACGACCCCATGAGTCCCATCTTCTCTGGACGGGAGAGCATGCTCCAACCTGAACGACAGACGCCCCGAATTCCCTCTCGAGCGATACTATTGGACTCCCTTCCGCGGCGTAATCGAAACTATTCCCCTCACTCGAGCCCCGTCTCGCAACCAGTTCACCTGATTGGGCACTGGCTGTACTCACTCATTGCCCCAGTCACTAACACACACCCCTCCCCACCCCTTCACTCCTGCTCCTGCCTCAAACGTCATGCCGTTCCAAGATCTCCTTCCGTTTGACTCACTCTTTCGTTCCATTCACCCCTGGCCCTGCAGTCAACCAGCTTCACTGCGTCTCCGACCCAGCTCAAAGGTACCAGACGCCACAGGGCAGAGAGGATGCCGGTGATCGGAATAAAGATTATGCCAATTTAGCCTATTTTCCCACATAGCTTAGCCCGCTCAGACTTTTTAGCCCAGATCCTGGAAGCTGTCAGAACAAAGTGGATGCGGGCAAAACGGCAGACGGACGGAAAGGAAGAGAGAGTGGCACGGGGGAGCAAGAAGAAAAGCAGGGAGACGGTAGGACTGCAAATATGTCTGTCAGAGTGATTGGCATCTGGGAGAATGTGGCCTTTCTGTTCGAGTTCGCCTTCTTGAACTCAAGCTCAGACAAACAAGTTACCACACATACACATACACACACACACATGGATACATACATGCATACACACAGTTACGCCCAGTGTACTGGCCAAACCTTGCAAGTGGATACGGGAAGTTGAAGGGCTTGAGGAAGATCTTCACGTGGCCACATGAGCCGAGCATTGCCAGCTCACTGATTAATGTAACCAAAGCAAGAATTTCGCATTCCTGTTTGTGTGTTTGTATGAGAAGAGCAGAAAGGGCAAGACGTAAGAATCCAACTGTAAGTCGTCTTTCTCAATCTTGTACCGGTGACCCTCATTTTATGCCAAAAAATGGTCTGCGCCCCGTGAAGGCATACTTTCACTTGGACTCCTGAAAGCACACGTCTTACCGCAATTCCCCACTGGTTGCTATCCCCCTCATTATGTACGTCTGGATGCAAAGCAGATGAGACTGTTCCTTTGTGTCTCGTCGTAATTGCACGGCTTGTAGACAGGTGGAGGCCCGAGTAGAAGTGTTATGGATAAGGGCTGAACTCCCAAGGCACATAATTTCATGAGCCAGCCTCTTGCCTGTTCTCTCACTCGTGTGAAGGTACAGGAGCCCGTGTTGACATTCCCGGCTCAACTTACCATATTCTACTAGCTTTCCAAAGGGCAATTGTCCTTATTCTGTCCCCCTTCTATATAACCTCTTATCATCCCCCGTACGCGCCACCCTACCTGCTTACTGCGAACCCGTCCTGGTTGCTGGGTCAAGTTGATATACAAATTGGCCCTGTCCACACAGGCCAGCTCTATTCGCGTACCGATCACCACAAATTGGAAACCAAATCTATTTTGACTTAGTGTAAGTAATTGGTTGGTCGCGCATGGCCACAATCCAATTATAGTTATTATGTCCCAATTCCAGCTGGGGCTTCGAATAGGCAATTGGATACAGTGTATACTATACACGATGAGTTAAAAAAAATCTCAGTGAAAATCATGATATCAGACATCCCAAAAGACCTTTAGAATTCTGATTAGCACAAACAGAGAGACTAGAGCCGTGGATATCAGCGTTTAGAAATAAGCAGTTTACCTCCTTGAAGCTGACAAATTGGCCTCGCTGAACCTTTCCTTCCTTTCATCTTGGATAGAGTCGCTATATGAAGCTGTAGCATGTCAACAGAAATCATCATATAAACGATATTATTCCTTTTTTAAATGAGTTAAACTATTTGCTTACATTTCTTATATAAGTAAAGTTTCAAGGCTACCAGTAAATCAGTAATATGAGATGTATTCACCCTATTTCGTTTAAGGTGAAGAGATACTGGTAGTAGAATTTTCCCACAATGATATGAGTATAGCTGACGTTTCCATTGAATTTCACATGGCTTT